GGGCTTTGTGATGGTCCCGGGTTAATACCCTGCAAGCTACCATCCACCGTCATCCTGCAGGAAGTTTGGACTAGGAATAAATTGTCTTAACTCTGCAAGTACATCCGAAACATGTAAAACATGTAACAAAAACAAATAACAAACATTTTACACAATTTCCATTTAGTAAACAAAAAAAAAAAAAAATCCTTTTACTGACACAGGAAATAACTAATTTATATTCACTTAGCTAACTTTTAAGCTAGAAAACGCTACACTTAATAACCATAAACAACACCAACACTATAACGCCAGATTCTTCAGTCTATTTATTTACACACCCTCATAGTACGAGGTTACACACAACACTCTGAAATGAAGCTTCTTACCAAGGGGAATAACTCTACATTCATCGGTCTATTTATTTACACACCCTCTTAGTACGAGGTTACACACAACACTCTGATATGAACTTGTTTACCAAGGGGAATAACTCTAAATACTAATATCAAACACATACACCTAAAACACAATGTCAACACTAACAATCCATTTTCTATCATATAGCAGCTTCTTTTTACTACAGCTCAAGCAACTCATTTACTTCAAGTAATTGAAGAATTCATTTATTTCCATATAGCTAACAACTCTTTAACTTGTTACTTAGCAAAAAAAACCTCTACAAAAATGACTAGGAATACAAGGTTATATTTCTAATATGAATGTTTTTCTTTATATTTTTACTCATTGAAGCTCTATTATGTATAATACTTCTATTATTTTATTTTAATTAGATACAGACAACAATGATGGTCAGTCTACATCTGCTGGCCAACAATCAACAAGTAAGTAATGAATTTATTTAGATTTAATTTAAAAAAAATGAAAAATTCTCATCACTATAAACTTTTTCTTTCTTTATCAGTACACACTGATTGGACCCTCAATAAAGTTAATGCCCATTTGATAATAGCAATTTTGTGCTTTTAAATGCAAGAGTTTTAAGATGTATAAATGTAAACATTTAATGGATTATAAATTGCTATTCTTCTATCATCACCCATGCAGCCTCCTGAAGATATGTAAGTTTGATGTAGATATCATCATAACATTGTTTTTGTCACATTTTTTACTAGCTGGGAACTTAAAATCATAGTCTGAGAAAAGAACAAATCTTCCAGCAGAAAATGTCAAAATTTAATTACATCTTGTTTTTTTCTTCAAATCACAACATGACTCTCCAACTCAAAATGTTATGTATTGCACATCTGCTTAGTTTTGAGCTATTGAACAAAATATGTTTAATAATTATAATAATAATAATCTTTATTGTCTGTAAGGAAATTTGTCTTACAATTTGTGCATTACACCAAACAAACATTATAACTATAAAAAAAAAAAGTAGGCCAACATTCACACCAGACTCACACATAATTTACATGTGAAAAGTTTTTATCAAATTGTTTCTATTTAATGATTTGATTGCCAGGGGAACAAAAATAGTTTTTGTGTCTGTCTTTGCTATCAGTGTCTTGTATCTCTTTTGTGATGGTAAAATCACAAAATCATGACCCAAAGGGTGTTTTTTTTTTCTAGGACCTTTTTAGCTTTTTTTTATGGATGTTTGTCTCAAACAGCTGCCCAAATGGGGTAATTAAGTATTAAGGGAATTTAGGAATTCTGTTATATGGTGTTAGTTGTTATTGTTATTATCTATAGAAATATTCATAGTTGGTATTTTTTAACACGATTCTAAATTGTTTTGTCTTTTACAAGTATGATGACACCCAAATTTGTAATGAAAAAAAAAAAAATTCATCCACTGTTTTGGCATTTATAACAACAATACTAAGGAATTCAGTATTTCACTTACAGTCCCAGTTGCAACCTATATATTTTGCCACTTCCAGCGCAGATATAACCCTTGTCTGGCGGTAGTCAATTTAGGCTCTCTTTTTTGCAGTCTCTTGTTCTTATTCTCTCGTTAAAGACACAGTATTTTTAAAAATATATATTCTTCAACAAGTATTCTTATATATTCATGTTTGCTAAAAAAAAAAATTTATTCTATGCTAGATTTTAAATTTAAAATCTTAAATTATATACAGTAAATTATTATAGATTGGAGATTTATTAATCAATTATTAATTAGTCTGTGGCATTGAAAGTCATTCTGACTATAAATGGTTCTCTATGTCAGGGGTTCTCAACCTGAGGGTTGCTTGACGATTTGTCAGGGGTCGCCTAAGACCATCCAAAATATGGATTGTATTTTGTCTATTCTTCTATTGCTTGGGGGGGGGTTTGCGGCTGAGTAGGGTATTGTAAAAAGGGGTCGCCAAGCTTAAAAGGTTGATAATCGCTGCTCTATGTGCTTTCAACTCATTTTGTGATGGAGGTCACACACAAAAATTTGAATTACTTACATTTTAATATGGAATAAGCCTTGATTTTATTCCATAATATACATCTTACTGAGCAATGATTTTCTCTCTGATAAAGCATGTAATGTCATGTCTAAGCTTATTTGTGTATTATAGTGCTACAATCGCAATTTATCCAATTTTTGAAAGCACAGACCTTTTTTTTAAATGCATGTTCTAATTTTTAACATAACATTTATTTCTTTGTTTTTGTTTATTTCTAAAACTTAAAAACAGTTGTCTATATCTCTTGTAACACATTTACATCACCTTTTCTTAATAATAAGACTAATCTGATCAGCCTTGGATTGTGGAGTATTGGCTTGATAAGCTCCTTAGAGATGATTGTAAACTTTCCTTAGATAAATGCTTCATTTATAATAATATTGTGCTAACAAACTCAAATCAGCATAATTTAATTTAGCTAGATGGCTAATCATTAACAAAATGTATTGGTGTTGGGTTTTAAGCCTGTCTGCTTTTTTATTCTAAAACAAAATTACTTTGAAGATCAAAGTTCACCAAATGAACATGTCTATATTTCTATTGGTATGTTCTTAAATCAACTAATGTATAACTGCTTTTTAACAGTGAGTGTGTTAGCTCCCTTTTAATAATAGACAGATTACTGATTATTATTATTTTTAAATTGTGTACGCTAGAATCAAAGTATCAAAGCAATGACTGAAATAAGTCTCTGATGTTAATTTTAGTGGAAAGAAAAATTTGAAAGAAATAATATTTTCAAATAATTTCTGAAAAGATTTTAATTAAAGCATGTTATTAATATTTGCATTATCTAACAAATTGAAGAAAGATTTGTATTTGTGTGATTTGTGATGCAAAGTGAAAAATTCATGGAATTTTTTTAAACATACCATCATTTCTATTTCAGTAAATGGCTCAACACCAGCTTTTGTCACACCGGCTGCATCATCTTCTGGACCACCTCCTCCACCTGCAGGAAGCGCAGCACCACCACCACCTCCTCCACCTGCAGGAAGCGCAGCACCACCACCACCTCCTCCGCCTCCCCCTCCACCCCCACCACCACCACTGCCACCAATGTAAGAGGACAATTGAAAGAAAAAAAGCTATGTATAACTATTTACAGTTTAAAATCAACTAAGCAGTCATTTCGAGCACTGAACAAACAACACTATTGCTTGTTCTTTAAATTACTTGATATTAATTTCACCTTTTGTAGACCTAGACATGTTTTGATAAGTTGCTATTCTTTATTGTATCAATGCACTTTTAAGAGAAATAAATCAACACTTGTAAAACCTTTTTGTTGTGATCCGATCTGTTATTCCATTGGTTTTGTCTTTAATTGTAGGCCTTTTATGTTTGCATAATGTATTTGTTACTATGTTTTGTTATATTAGCAAGCAAGATTTGAGTTCATCTTTTCAAGACTTTATCTGTCATTAAATATTCAGTCTTAGAGATTTTGTTTTATCAACAAAACACAAGTAAACAGAAATAAGTTGACTTATGCCATTTTCTTCTGAGGGAAATTAAATAAACATTTATGAAAATCATAGAGCTCCAAGTGTGAAATTTTGTACAAAGTAATACAAGTAGGCTAAAATATAAAGAAAAAGAAAAATTTCCATCAGTTATGTTCATTGCTTGCTTTTACAAATTTTTTCTTTAAAAAGAGAATTACAACCTCCTCTATATTAACCTAGGCATAAACAATCATACATAATATGTGAGAGTCAACATGTTTTGTTTGTGCTTATTCTTGAAATGGAAAGTAAGAACTGTATGTTTATATTCACATTTTTTATTAGCTCATGTTGTGTATTTACAGTTTATAGTGTAATATTTTATAACTAAATATACAGAATTACATTATGATATTGTCTTGTATATGTCTGCAGTGTAGACTGTATTATGCCTTATAAAAAATGATTGAAGATGAGAAGGGGACCTACTTTATTGTGTAATGGCATTTAAATTAAGGCTGATTTTGTATATAATAAATTGTAAACTTAATTATTTCCCAATCCTTCTATCTCATGTGATGCTGGTCTAGTAAGTATGGGTAGGAATTGACAAATTATTGGTGGCTATTGAGTGTATGTAATTCTACAGTATTTTTTTTTCCTGAAAGTCTCATTTTTTCTTTCTTTAAGAATATAGAGCAGAATGATTCCTATTATAGATTTGTTTTCAACTACATACAAATAACTGAAATCATATTAAGAAAACAACTCTATATTAACACAACCTACTTTGAGGACTTAACATTCATTGAGCTATTATCACCCTCTAAAAACACTTTTCTTCCTATTGCTTTTTATTTGTACATGACTAGTGCTATACAAGGTTGTTTGACTTCAGTGTAATAAGAATTGGCTGATTTAAGTTGACAGGTGTACCAAGCAACAAAACATCTCTATTGAAATCTCACTATTAGTGCTGGAATAATGTTTGACTTAAGAGGAGAATACGAGTGGACTTCAATTGAAAGGCTTTACTAAAAAAAAACAACGTTTTATATCCAGTGTTGAGCTAGGAAAAACATGAGTTTATATATTATGCAAAGTTTATGAAGGGTTCTGCTAAAAATTTATTTTTGGGGGGGAAAGGGGGGGGGGGGAGCCTAAATGTGAGATCAAATCTTTTACTCCATAACTTTATTCATGTTTAACTCTTTTCTACAACAAGAAAACTATAAAACTACAACTGCCCATGGAGTACTACTAGAGTGAATAGACTTCATGGGCAGTTGTTTTTTGTGCTATTAGCTGAAATTTGAACTGTGATGCTAAGCCATGTAAGAAAAAATGATATTTAATCAAAAGTTTGTTTAGGGGCTCTGAAAATTGCTTGTTTTATGCTCTTTTACACAATGCAAAATACTTGAAGTTGTTATATGCTTTTTAAATTGTTCATATAAGTTAGTTGATTGATACAATTATGACCATTGGACTGTTGCTATTAATAAACTTATTTGAGAATAAATTGTGTTCCATAGTTATAACTTGTTCAGATATTAGTCTTTATTCCTTTTATTAGATATAAAGATAAAAACTAAAAGGTTATAAAGTGAAATGTGGCATATACCTGTCACTTTTCAAGCTAAAAGTAATATAGGGAGTGGCTACCATACTTGGAGCCAGAAACTGCCAACCTTTCGTTTACAGCATCAGGTGTAAAGAAAAAATATAGAAAAATAAGGATAATTTTAATATATAGATAGAATCATTATATACAGCTGTCATTAAACCAAATGCACATGGAAATGTAATATGATAAGTGTTAAAAAATAATCCAGATAAAGTATCTATGAAAAGTATGCACAACACCATACTGTAATAATTAGAATAGAACAAAGATTTTTTTTCAAAATATTTTATTTCGATATCTCAAAATTTCCCACAAAAATGGATAAATGACCGCCCCTTGCAATGTTTTAGTGTAGAATGTAAAAAACATTAAATCACAATGAAACAAAATAGTTTGATATGGCACATAAATATGTTCAACATTATAATTCCATCAAATACATATATTTTTAAGTAATTATTAGGATCATTTATTTACAGTTGGAAAATGCAAAGTAACAACATGTAGTATCATAGAGTTAATTTTCTTCTTTGAAGGAATGTAATTTATAAGATAAGACTATAATAGCAATACCAGATTTAAAGTCAACCAAAAAATGATTTAATTTTTAAAAATATTTTCAAATTTGTCTGCACTGTGGTTTGAACCAAACAAACGAAGATTAAAAATTTATTGCCATGGTGTGTTTTAGGAAACACTATCTTATATAATTCTACCCTTACTACTTTTATGTTCTACAATGATTTATATCTGTTACAAATTACCTACATGATCCCAAATCAATGATTTTAGTGTTTACCCTATAGTAAGAATGTTGAAGCCTGTACTTAATTTGATTTACTATATTTTCTATTTGTATAAGTATTATGCTTTGACAATTCACACCTTTGCATAAAAGATAACTGAGTCAGTTCCCTTTGTTCTTAACTATGAATCATAAATTACATAAAGGAATGTTGTTTTTTATCTACATGTCCCGATGTTCTGAACCTGCAGGTGGAGACAAAGGTAGATAATTAGCACAGTCTATAGATCTAATTGCCCAACCTGAACACAGCACACTGCTATTTATTGTTCCTGTAGATTATTATGAACGGCAGACAAAGTATTATGCAAATTAAAAGTAACATAAGGCAAAAAATATAATGTACATAGGCCTTTCTTTTGAAACAGTAACAAGTTTAAAACACAAAATATTTTACATCTTACAAGCAAGAGCAATGTAGAAAAATTCATTATAAAAATATCAATATGTACAATATGCTTGACATAGAGAATGTAAGAACAAAAAGAAAAAGGTGAAAAAATTATATTGAGAAATATTTAACGGTAGTTCACAAAAGTGAACCTAACAATTTTGCTAAACAAAAACTCACTTAGAAGAACATATTTTCAATTTGAATACAAACAATAGTGATATCAGATTTGATCAAAAATAAAAAGCTGAAAACATTTTTAAAGTAGACAATACAGTTTTGACCTAGAACTAAAGTAATGAAAGACTAAAGAATATAAAATACAAATGTGTACATAAGAAGAGTGATAGCAGAGATTACAACTATGTATTTCAATGCGCCTAGGCCAACAAATATCTTTTGATAATCTTAAGCTAAAATTAAAGCTACAACAGATGAATGTAAACTTGAATTTTCACTGGCTACTTTACAACTATGGAACCCTTTTGGCTACGATTTGAGAAACTGTTATTTCTAGTGCACATGTAAGAATAAATCCCTGGTTTCGTAAATTTGAGGACTGCTCCCTCATAGGAAGCAGGGGCATTGTCCAGAGTGTTACTAATCTTGCCTCTAGTACTGACTAGATAAGCTTTGTTCTCTGCCTCAGGACACGTAGTTGCATCAGCACATCTGGAAATAAAAAAGAAAACAAATAATTGTAATTTTGTAGTTCCATTTATTAAAGATTCATGCAAAAAATTTAAAAAAATATTGGGTAAGTAAGACTTGGACTTTTAAACCAGAAAATCCTAAACAAATCTAGAATCTTAAATAAGCAACACAATTTCAAAATCTCTGGCATAATAGTTCAAAAAAATTGTTGTAATTTCCTTTGTACAGTGCATGTTCAGTGCACCATGGTCCAATCTCTTTTGTGACTTCTGAGGAGAGAGGGTATCTGAGAGAAGTTTTTAGTGCTGCCTTCAGGCGCTTAGCAAACTCAACACAGTTCAAGTCTGGATTTAATCTTGATCACAAGCAAAAAAACACTAACTAGCTCTATAATTAACTACAAGCATAGAAAAAAATCAAACATTTACACAGCTAAAACCAACCTAGAAATCTCCCCACATCTAAAACAAGACTAAACTAAGAATCTTTAACTGTAATGTCAAGGCTGTCCTACAGTATGGTTCTGAAACATTGAGAACAACTGAAGCCACAACAAAAAAAGTACAGACCGTCATCAACAGATTGATGCCTGAGAAATATCTCAAAAATACACTGGTACGACAAAGTAGAAAACACCAAAATGTGGGAGATGAGTGGGCAGAAAAATACAGAGGTGCAGATCTTAGAGAGGAAGTGGAGATGGATTGGTCACACCCTTAGAAAAGATAACAACAACAGAGCTAGACAGGCCTTAGAGTGGAACCCCCAGGGAACAAGATGTAGAGGAAGACCAAAAAGAAAAGGAGTGTAATGCTCAAATAAACTTCAGATCATCAAAGTTTGAAATTAATTGTCTTCTTTTAGCAACAAAAACATAAAGAAAAAGCCCAAAAATGAAGCAAACTGATAATAAATTTCTGTTAACCAATTAATGACAAGGTCAACATAACTCTGAAGAGAAAGTCAGCAGCAAGTGATTGGATAATTATATAAATGTATTCCCAACTTTTTGGATTTTTATTTCCACTAAATCCAGATGAATCTTGGACAAACATTTTGTAAAAATGTGATCTCGGTTATTTAAAACTAAGTTCACCATCAGTCTTATTTTTATTGGAATCTCAAACCTCCCTTTATCATTATTGGTTTAGTCATTGATATATAAACATTCAAAAAGATTTTTAAAAACCTGTAGTATCCTGCCGAAGCCATATTGATAGCTAAATCTTGTGGAGTTATTTTCGTTTTATTAAAATAGATCCAAGCCACTTCAACACTCTTCCACAACTGGCTATATTCAAAAGGTGTTGGAAAATTTTGACTCCTGTCAGAAAGCTCAACAAAATTGCTGCGGTCTGTTCCTAAAATGGATATAGTGATAAATATTTTATCTATGTATTTTATAATATATTTTCATACAATTTTCCTTTTTTTTCTAGGTCTAAAACAAAGTCTAAATACATTGAGTGAAGGCAACATATTGGTTTATTACTTTTTTTTTTTTACCAAAAAAAGCAAAAAATGAAAGTAATAGTAAACAAAAAACTGTTCAGTAAACATGAAAGAACAAAAATACCTGGTGCACCGATATATAAATGGGTCATAGAAGTTTATTTTTTCCAACTTAAAAGAATTTAACAAAGCTTTTTTTTCCATCTGTTATGAAGATTTTAGATCCAGTGAATTCACTCTTAAAATAAGAAACTCAAGATCTCTATTTTCAACTAAACCTTCCCTTTTTTAAAATGTTGCCATTTTGTATTGAAATAAAAATAACTAGTGAATCTACAGAGTACATTTCACTGCTACAATTACAGTTATACAGTGTGACTTATACTTGGAGAAATTGAATCTATCTTAGAGAATGGTCTCCTGCAGTCTCTTTTAAGTTATATGAACTAGTCGGTCAACTCAATAATAAAATGTTTCCATAGACATTCTATTAAAACATGCCTCCTTTTCCCTCTCCAGCATCCCCAGCTTGACCATCCCCAGCAGGATTGTTGTTGTTATGAGTGTTTGAACCTGAGGAGTAGAAAAAACTTAGTGAAGGAGGCAGATGTTCACTTTTAAGAAGAGCTAGAGAATTGCAAGTTTTTAATTGAACATTTTTAAGTAGCTATAATTAAGAGAATTATACTTATAATAATTGAATAAGATTTGTTAACATGAGAAATTACATTTTTTTAGTTCAATCTATAATGATCATAAAGAAAATAAATGTCTAACAAGTGATATGTTCATGTCATTCGGTGGATTATTCAAACCATAAAAACAAATATTTGATTCAACAAATAATAATAGAATTTTGGAGTTTTAAATGTACATTTTTCAGAATGTGCAAGTTATAGATGATTGGCAGTTTTTCTTTATTCATTTTTTTAAGTTACTTTTTTAAATTACCAAACAAATTTGTTTTATGTATTCCTATACTACCTACAAAAATGGTATCTAATTAAGGGAAACTGCAGGTTTTCTGTTTGAATGGCCTAGGTCATTTTTTAAATAATTAAAAGCAGAAAAGAACTTTTCTATCTTAAAATCTATACCTTCAATAAAAAAATAGTTATTTTATAACCTGCAGTCTCCCTTAATTAGATACCATTTTTGTAGGTAGTATAGGAATACATAAAACAAATTTGTAAAAAAACAGAAATTATAATGATACAAGTTTAATATTTTTAGAAAGAAAAATTGAAATAATTAAATCAGGTTTTAAAATATTAATTCAAGTTTAGTTTATGTTAGTATTAAACCTGAGCCTTACCTGTCCACTGTATGTGAACCATGTCATTGACTTTAATGTTTAAATCATTGGGTGAAAAATCATATTCAACAGCTGGAAACGTCTGGACTATGTTGCCCCTCTTGCCTCGAACATTCAAATTATAGATGTTACTATTGTCCAAGTTTGCAGTTCTGGGGCGTAAAATAAACACATGACTTCTGTCCTGAAAAACTCTACCAAACTGGGCTGTGTTAACTGCCAAATGAAGAGGCGACTGCTTACTCATGACATAGACATAAGGGTTCTGCTTGATGGGTGACTCAGTTGGACTAAAAA